CACACACACACACACACACACACACACACACACACACACACACACACACACACACACACACAGAGCACGACTGGTAAACCGGCGTAGATAGAGAGGGAGACGAGGACAACAAATGAGGGGCTGTGACGGACTGTTTGGTCAGAGTTACACCAACTCACCAGGAGGCTGAACCTACATATGAATAACATGATGGTCATGCTGAGATATATTGCTCGTCAAATCTTGAGGAAAAATGAAGTATGGTTCCAATAATCTATTGGGCATAAACTCGAACCAAAAGGGCAAGCAGCTTTCTTCACAAAAAAAAAAAAAAAAAAAAAAAGAAAGATATTGATAAAGCCGCAATTGCACAGGAAGCAATCCCTCAGGGAATTCCCCCAGCAAAAGTCGAAGAAACGTAGAGAAATATCAGAATAAGCTCGGGAGCAATCACGAGACGAACAAACTTCTTGAAATTCTTCAGCTAAGGCGGCAGCTGATTAGCTTGCAGCATGTGAGTCTCGACTCTGCGCTGCATCCTGCACATACAACAGTGTAAATATATATAATTTTTATTTTTTTTTAATTGAAATTTGAAAGAACAACAACTGGCAGGTGCCCTACCCACTTCAACTCCCAGTTCTCTAGTTCTAACGGCGTATTCGATGTTGCTCTTCAATGTCGCCCTTGGATGAAGGGAGTGACATACCGTAGCGCTAAAAGTCCGACATGTCCGACACGTCGCACTGATGTGGATGACAATATATAAGACAGCCTTATGCTCGTTGCACTGTCGTCTTGGTGCCGGTCCTAATGCTCCTCCGCAATTCACAAGCGCACCTTTCTGTTCCCTCATCGGTTTTCGTCCTTGCCCCCCCTGGCCCCCCCCCCCACTAGCACTCTTCCCAGATGCTGAAATGATTGTCTTGGGGTGTTGAAATGACGCAGGAAGCCGGAAGGTACTGTATTCAAATTGACAAAGTAAGTTGCGTCATGTAAATGACGAATCGCAGACCATCAGCTCTGCAAATCACTCCAAGCGAAACGAGGGTCGAACTCCGTGCTCTCGTCGAATCGGGCCAGACTCCAGAGACATTCATATCCTGCTCAACACAAGTTGCATGCACAAGAACGATAGAATCGGATAGATACATTCGTATCGGCTGCAAAGTGCCGCGAACTATACACTGATCTCGACGTCAGGCTGAATTCAAGGGATAACCCGTGTGCGGCGTGCACATCATGCTAGTGTACGAAGGGAGCCTACTAAAGACCAAAATGGGCGAAACACTTCAACCCTACTGGCCAAAGAATCACAGAAATCGACGCCACCCAAAAGCTGGAGGCGGTTCTCCTGTACTCTCAAGCTGCTGTCACATACCAAATGTTATTTTTTGTTTTTCCCCCACATGTTTTGCAGTCATTCAAACAACCGAGAACGATGACATGCGGCAAAGTACCGCACCTCGATAGCCAATCAAGAATGGGACCACACAATTCGACCCGTGCTATACACTATTCCATCCGCAACTGGTGCCGTGTCATTTTTTTTTCGGCATGTTCCAAAACATCAATCTTGTTCCGTCAAGTAGCGGAATTAGCTACGCTCATTATGAAGTCAACGCTTTGTGTGATCCTTATTCTGGCGCTCAACAAAAGCATCAGGGCATAGAAGTGATGGATTATCAACAAGGAGGAGATCATCTCTCTACTCTGTGTTTTCGGTATAAAGCACTATAAAGTACTATAAAGTACTATAAACACCCTAAGTCAGCACATAATTCCCTAAGAAACCAGAGCTGAAAAAAACTGTGTGTGTTGGCATTTTCCCTGTGTTTTTAAGGATCCCCAAATTCTATCCTCATCCCAACCACAAATCATCACAAACCATCCATCAAATAAAAAAGGTATAGAATCTATAGATAGGCATTATATGAAAAGATGCAAGGTTGCCCACGTTTGTGTGGTTCAGCGGCAAATGCCCACACACCCGTCTGCCGCCCGGAGCGGCACACTTGCACAAATATTTATATTCTATAACGGGGCAAAGGGCATAAGGCAAAGCACTAGCACTAGTACTATTCATCTTGAACTACCCAGTCATGTCACTGTCATCCCCATCACTCCATGGCTAGACAACCTCCCGTTCACTTTGCTGTCTGGCCCCTGGAGTGTATAGACCCCAGCAGAAGGCTCCACTAACAAGAAAGCGCCAACCACGCTGCGAATGGTCTGAAAAAACTTTGTGTCCGCCCACAAAGCCACCATAAACCATACCAAACTCCACAAGATCTCCACGCAACACCTTGCTGTGTGTCTGTGAGAGTGCGCACATGCGCACAAAAGAGAGAGAGAGAGAGAGAGAGAGAGAGAGAGAGAGAGAGAGAGAGAGAGAGAGAGAGAGAGAGAGAGAGAGAGA